GATCTTGATAGAAGACGAAGATTTGAATGCACATAAACTAGATCTTCAGCTCGTTATGGAGTTATTTTATTCCTCTTCATTGATTGAATAAATAAGTATGTGCTCCAATTTCTCTCACAACAGGAAGAGGATGATACTTAATTATATGACATATATGGCAAAGCAGACATGTGTATATTCCTCCAAAATCATAATGGATATCCTCTATTTGAATTACTATCCTTCAACATAGAAATTATAATTTCATTTATATCTTGATTATTCATTGTTTTTATCTAGATAAGATTGTAACAAACCAATCATTAGTTTAAATCCCGCAAAATACTTTTACTGCCAAAAAGAAATGAAAATGAGAATATTTGATGATTGGGTATTAGGTGCGGATGTTGATTTGGTTTTGTGGATAGGAAATAATTAGTTTAAATCCCGCAAAATACAAGAAATTATATTTAAAAAAATTCATAAAATATTTAAGATACGCGTGTCGGACATGCGTGTCCAATTTGCATTTAATATTTTTTAATCGGACACGTTTTCGGCGTGTCCAACACATGTCGAAGGAGTGTCGGGCGAGTGTCGTGTCGGACACGGTGTCGGACACTGCACGCCTCTTTGAGGAGAAGTGTCGGTGCATCATAGGCTGCTGTCAACTTCTTATCCTTCGTTAGCCCATTAACGGCAAAGTACCTCTCCACCTTATATATCCACCCATACGCATCCTCCCCCTCGAAGATAGGCATCTTTAACTTCCTCGCCTTCTGATCTCAACCATTCCCCCTTATTCCTCCATAGCTTCCCCTCTCCCAAGTGCTCGGCCCACCCCACATCTCCCGGTTTTCCCTTGCCCTGCCATAGCCCAAACCCCATTCGAATTCCCCTCTTTTTTCCTTCAAAATCAACACCTCGGCGACCATAATGTCTCTCCCGGCATTCCCAATCGGCACCCCTTTGCTCGTACCTATCTCCTCTCTCCTCCCTTTGGAAAGGCTCCAGATAGGGTCTCTCTCCCTCAACGATTTCTACCTCATCTTCCTCCCTACGAATTTTCGAATTCGTGTTTTTTCTTTTCTCCTCTTTTGCCATGGAAGCCGCCATTTAGTTGTGGATTTCCGACATTTTCTTCATTATGTCTCAGAGATCGGCTACTTGTCCTTCTATGGAGGAAATCCTTTCCTCCACCGTTGTCTTGATATGTTTCATCTCCCATTCAAGCCTTTCTTCTAGTGCATCAACTTTCTTGGCCGCACCTCGATCCAAATTTTTGTAAATCCAAAAAATTCTGGATTTGGATTACAAAAACAACACTTCGTCCGTTCCCAACCAAAAATCAGCCGCTGAAATTTGTCAAAATCAACCCACGAACGGTCCCAAGACTTGCTCTGATATCAATTTGATAGGAAGTACTTGTAGATCGCAAGTATTTCCTATCAATCTTCTAAAAACAACGAGAATTCTTCACAAAAATCCGCACAAAATCACAAAAAATAGTAGATAATTTGTATTACTTGATGAAAGCGAAACGGAAAATAAAAAGATACACTTGATCCTCTATTCGAGGAGCAATTATTAGGTCCTTTCACTGGATGTAGAGGAAGGTTCGGTTTTAGCCAAAAATAGGTAAAAAGTGCAAATACCGAGTTTTTTGAAAAACTCGGTATTTTTTCAAAAAACTCGGTATTTGCACTTTTTTATGCAAATAAAAACTCCTATTCGAGAGGAGGATCGATCTCTCCCAAATCTCTAGACGCAGCTAGAGCCCAAAGGAAACCTAAAATCTAAGAGATCTCAAATTTCAGCCAAATTCAAGATGTCCTAACCATAGGAAAACAAAGTATTTAATGCATACAAATCAAAAGGAAATCTCTAAACAGTCTCTACATTCAAATTTCCCTCCCAAATCCCTCAAAAATCCATCCTAAATTGCTTTGTTTGCTTCGGCGGGGTGTGCGGCTGAATCACGAGGCGGAGGCTTCCGCCTCGTTCGCACCTAGGCCGGTCCCGCATGGACCAGCTAGATCGGTCCATTGGACCGGTCTAACAGGGCGCTGCCTCTCGACCCTATTTTTTCATCGTTGTACGCTTTGCAGATATGTCGGAGGTCTAAGGGGGAAGCGCCCCTGTTCAACTATCATTGTGTCGTAAAAGTCTTTCATCAAAGGAGTTGTGATTTTAATATTGCTAGCATTTATAATAAAAGCCATAAATGCAATCCATCTCTATTGCATAGGTTTAGATGGCGCTTTCTTCTCTGGCTTAAAAGGTAGTTGCAGCTTTATAGGGTTTCAATTGGCAGCCAATATCTCCATTATTATCCTTATAGAGTTAGGTGACCTCATTGCCATATCACGTTGCATTGAAGAGGCCCATATCATTCAATGGAGGATGCTTATCATAGTCTATTGCTAGTGGGAGATTATTGTATGCAGACATGGGACGGGAGAACCGTTCGGTTCCGCGCTCGGTACCGAGGGGTACCGAGCACTCGGTACTGAACACGGTATATTTTTGGAGCGACGTGGCGCTTTTTTATTGATCTCTAGAAGAATCCAAACCCGCATGTAATAATTTTTCAGTGCTAGTTCCTTTTCAAGAACTTGACACAAAATCTAGGTTTGGCCGAATCACTCATCACCAGCCTATCACCGCTAGCAGCATGGTTAGCTCACATCCACCTCTTATAAATGAAGAAAATGAGGGCTGTGCACCACTCTTATGGCATTCCTAACATCCCACGGGCAGTTAACAACAACATTTGATGGCTCTCTCTTCTGTAATCTCATTTTACCTGGCCTTCCCTTGCCATTGGCCACCTCTCATCTCCCATTTCCCATCTCTCCTTTACTCGAGCAGCGCCCTTGATGCAATAGTAATACAGAGTAAAAATTCTACTGTCTTTTTTTTTTTTTGTAAGAACTTAAATTCTTAACTATCGAGATATTGTCAATTTTGGTCTCGAGCTCGCTTTCCGAATAACAAGTTGAGCTCGTTAATGCTAAAACTGGACTCGACTCGACTCGTTTAGACCCTTACTCTGGGATGAGCACGCTTAACTGCAAAGTTTCTTAGTGAAGGATTTCACATTTTGTCGCTTAAACAAGTAGAACATTTGATCCTTATCTTAAAGAACATATTGATTGCCCTCCATAAACTTGATACAGGACGAACGCCAAATGTCGTCATTTTGACCGAGACGAGCATCGCAGGCAGCAGATTTCGCACGGTTTCTGCTTCAGATTTAAAGGAAGTTTGGTTCAGAGCTGCAACCAATCTTGGAATCAATGTTTTAGATCTTGGAACAATCAACCAATGGAAAACTGATGGTTTTCCTAATGTGTTCTCAGGACAAATGAAGACTAATCATTCACAAGTGTTGCTGATAGCCCTCCCCAATGCACTAGTTGGTGATTCCATGCAGGTAGCTGATGAGCTCCTCAGGTACAGAACAGGTCAAAAAACCCACCTGATAGCTGTTACTGGATCTTTGCACATAGTTTCTTCAGTATTATTAGCTGTTTCACAGAATTAATAGCTGTTGTTTGGTTTATCAGATTTTGTTTGGGACGGCTTTTGGACTGCTTTTTAAAGCAGTTTTGTAGTACACAAAATTCTAGTTTAAAATACTTTTTATACTAATAATTTACTTTAGAAAGGAGTTAAAAAGCTGAAACACTTGAAATTTTAATATTTTCTAATTTATTTTTAAGCAGTTTTTTAATATAAAATTTTATTTTTTTATTAAAAATTTACTTAAAGAATCGTTAAGAAATTCGTCCAAAATAAAACCTAAATATTTATAAAGAATCTAAGAATGAAGTTTTGTTTTAAATTTTTATTTAGGAGCTGTTTGATTAGGGGAGTTATGAATATAGATTAAATTAAATATAAGATTTTAAAAATTTTAGGTATTTAGATTGTTGGATTTCAAATGTAATGTTTTTTGAGAGTGCTTGAAAATCATCTTTTATATTTAAAATTTTTTCGCTATGAGCGAATTTTAAATACATGATTTGAATAGAAGTGATGATATTGGTTCGTCTCCATCGTTGCTAGTCGTTGTCACTGTCAGTCTATTTTGTTATCTTATTCGCTATTGCTGGATGCTGGTGATCGCAAACCACCACCGACATTTTTCTATCGCACGTTGCTGCCACCCGCCATCACCCTTGTTGTTGGCCAGCTCCAATTAACTCTTATTCCAAATGCACTGTTTTTTATTTATTTTGTATTTCATTATTAAAAAAAACCTCAATATTTATATTATACTCAATCAAAAACGTTAAAATTATTTTCAACACACTATTTTTACTTCACACTGTATTTTTTTCATCAACGCTAAATAAATAAATATTAGTGATGGATGTTTAATTATTTTGCATGCTTGAACTTTATTATCAATTAGATTTCTATATTTATCTGAAAACTAAATATTTGTTTAAAATTCTTAAAGAAATTATCTTTAGGCACTTGTCGAGCTCACAAAAGAAATTAATGTCATATTAATGCAATAAAATAATCCAATTAATACTTTTATACTACTTTAAACCAATAAGGGTGTGGTTCACTAAATTCACATAGTTAAAATTTTCAATAAGTTTTATAGTCTTGTATGGTTTCTACAATTCATGTATTAATTTTATTTTTTTTATTAGATTAAAAAATTTATTTAAGTATTCTAATTATTTTATTTGCATTTTATCTTTTCAAATTTAAATAAAATAAAAATATTTTACTACTAAATATTAAGGCTTAGTAACAATAATGATTTGGATGATGAAACATTGATAAATGAAAATGATTATAAAATTTTAATAAATTAAGAGTGAATTGGAGAGGAAGAGTAATGAATTTGGAGGACTTGAGAATGAAAGGCATAATAGTTTATATAATGAAAGTATTTTCTCAAAATTATGCATTCAAATGCGCCTTGTTTTATGATAAACCGTTCCACACTAAAAAAAGGGGGTTTTACATACATGTCATTTTATTTTATGCTATTTACATATCTAATATCTAAAACATTAATATTACATGACTACCACCTATAGAACAAATTTGGGTGCATGTAATGAAATATAAAAATTTATAGGATTGTATGCATGATATAAATGAATTATAGGAATGGTATATTTGATATTAAACTTGTATATGGATGGTAGAGATGTAATATTAATATTTTAGATGTTAGATATATAAATTAGTATGTATGTAAATTTCCCAAAAAAAAATTGCATTTTTATGTGAAGGAGAAAGATTGGAATTTGGCCAGCGTTCACAGCTCTGAATAAAAAATCGGAATTTTATGTTCGTCTGATATTTTAAACGAGATTTAAAGCACTAATTTCTATAAAGAATGAATTTTTTTAATGGAATGCGACAGACACGTTTGAGCCAACTCTCCATCCTGGCACCATCTATCCAACAACCCAATCGTCTTTCTCTCTCTTCTACCACGCAGCAAGCGCCTCCAAGCTTCACTGTTCATTCCGGAGGAGAAAGGAGCCATCTTTTGCAGAATCTTAGCATTACTACCTGCTGAGTATTCCTTTTTTGCGCTCTCCATCTTCTCTAAAGAGAAGGGGAATAATGGGGAAGGAAGTGAGGTCGGATTGTGAGACATGGCCGACACTGTGCCGGAAAAGCAATCAGATCTGGTTGAAGCTCTTCGTTTCCGTCCTCCTTGTGGGCGTCTCATTCCGCCTTTTGTTTCTTCGCTCTTCCTCCGTGCTTCCCGTCTCAGAAACCCCTGCTGTCGCCAAGAAAACCGAGTATCAGTTGAATGCGACGAGTGGTAAGTTTCTTGAATGGTTTTAAGCTTTATGGGGGGAGATTTCCTTCTTATGTTCTTATGTTGGTTTTGTGAGTCCCGCAGCGCAGGAAATTTTAGCAACTGAAGTGATTAAAGGGCTGTAGATGTTGTTTTTTTTCCTGTCTTTTGGGGAACAATTATTACGTCCTCCGACCGGACGTAGAGGAACGTCCAGTCGGAGGCAAATTCCCGCCAAAAAACGAGTTGTACCGAGAAAATACCGAGCAATACCAAACAATAATGAAGAATATCATCATTTGAAGACCCAATACCGAGTTATACCGGATTTTACCGAGCAAATACCGAGTTATACCAAAGTTGTACCGAGTTTTTCCCAGAAAAACTCGGTACAACTCGGTATTTCTCGGTACAGCTCGGTATAACTCGGTATTGATCTTTAGAGAACGGTATTCCTCATTATTATCAAATAATACCTAGTTGTACCGAGTAAATACCTAGTTTTTTGACGGGAAATTGCCTCCGACCGGACGTTCCTCTACTTCCTTGCACCGGACGTAATAAAAGTTCCCTTTTGGGGGTTATAGACTTGCATTTATTCTGCTAAAGAAGCTTTGAGACTTTAATATTTCTACATTTTTTTTCGGGTGCAGAGAAATTTGTTTTTTGTTGTGGGGGATTTACATTCATACCATTGAATTCTTATGCAAATGGTGAGCTATTCTAAATAATTATAAATTTAAGTGGAGAGCTGTCCAAAGCCTTAAATTTGAAACCGCGTAGCTGTTGCCATTTTCTCCTAACTGGTGTGACTCCAGGCAATTTTCTTTGACTCATTTTTGTGGCGAGTAAATGGATAGAAGTTCAAAACGATTTGTGAAGAATAGGTTTAACTAATGGAAAATTATGATTCATAAAACCTGAATAAGGCTAATGATACTGATGATGTTTTTCATTCATTTCACCTGAACTCTTTAGAGCTTATGTGATACTTATTTTGGAATACAATTGCCATTGTCGACCGGCCTCATGAGCAGATCCTCACCATTGTTTAAAAAAAAAAAAGTAGAATGGTAGGTTTTTCTTTTAAAGATTTGGTTACTCTTGGTTAGATGGTTACTTTCTGCTTTTTTCTTGTTTGTTTGAATTTAATTGCTTCATTTTGCTTGCATTTCCTTCAGTTCTTAAGTTCCAAATGTTGCTATAAGATTTTGCTTTATGGTGTGATTCAGTTGTGAATGCCAATTGCAGAAAAATGTGATATTTTCACTGGAGAATGGGTTCCAAGTCTTTCAAGACCTCCTTACACAAATGAAAGCTGCCGTTTTATTGAAGACCCCCAGAATTGTTTGAAGAATGGACGTCCGGACACGGATTATCTTTATTGGAGATGGAAACCATATGGTTGCAGTCTACTTTCTTTCGATGGAGAGAAGTTTTTGGAGAAAATGCGGAATAAAGCTTGGGCATTGATTGGTGATTCAATTCTTCGCAATCATATCCAATCATTGATATGTCTTCTATCTAAGGTACACAGTATGTGATAATTCATTTTAATGTCTTGGAGATATAGGTTTGGAGCATCACTGAACTCTGTATTTTCTATTCCATGAATATTTGCTTATGGCACTGGTTTACAGTATATCCTCATTCTATGAATATTTCCTACTGATGCACGATCAGGTCCATAATATAGGCTTGTGATCATGGACAGTACTATGAACATTGGCTCTAGATGTACACATCTCAGAAGTCTTTTTGTTTTTTATGTTGGAGATATACTCATCTACCAAGTTCTAATAGCAGAAGGTGTAAAATACCTCATCCTTGCAATTAAAATTTGGTTTAAATTATGGTAAAAAAAGGAATTTATAGCGAGAGCTGTAACTTCTCTTTCTTTATTAATGATAAATGTTCCATTTTCAAATTTGTTGTTTTAGAATTTATGATGGCATTTAATTCCATTATAACAGGTGATTAATAATTTGATGAACTGACTTTGGAAGGCGAACATTGTTTCTTTATGCTAGATTTATTTTGTTCACCACTCATTTTAGTGAAACTTTAGACCTTTTAGTTTAAATGGTGTAGAAATCAGAAGTACTTTTTATTTCGGTGGCGACATTTGAACCTCATACCTACACTTTGGAAGTCGAAGGCAATAACGCTCAACCAATGTGTGTTATGCATGATCTGAGACTTAGCAATTTTGTTATCTTTAGATGATGGTATGCAATTTGGAGCATTCGGTTCTCTCTTGCAAATCATAACCTTTTCTTGTTGGTGGTTTTAATTTTATATTTATCATACTCTCTTGATGTAGTTGAATCCATTTGGTTATTAAAGCAAAATCAGAGCAAGTTAATTTAACCTTGGAAAAGGAATTGACATATGTTAGAGCTTGTGACCCGAATTATGTTGGGCTTGGGTCGAGGGATTGCTGGTGGTGGTCGAGGGATGAGGTGGATAGGTTTTTTTGTGGCTATTTTATGTTAGCCACCACTTTCTACTTGTAACTATTTTTTTCAACATAGTGAGTTTCTTTATGTTTTGTAGTCTATTCTTCATTCTTTTGATGCAACGTTTTTACTGATTGAGATTGAGTTGGCTAATTTGTCCAAGTTCTTCTTCTTATTGGCAATGTTTAAAAGTGCTCCATTTGTACCTTAAATAATTGTAACTTCACATTTAAACCTTTTCTTTTCTTATTAATTTCACATTTTTTTACTTCTTTACAACCCTAATATATTTCCAGAGTTTTGTGATGATTTTTTATTTGATAGACTCATTTGATCTGAATCTGTTATCAATTGATCATGAAAATGGGGGTGTTCATTCGTTTTATTCAGTTTATATTGTTTTCGAAGAATCATTTTGAATGTACTTTCTAACATTTGAAAATAGTTGTATCAATATTGTGAGGATGTAACCATATTTCTCAAGGAATATAGTAGTCTGTGTATGAGGTGAATGTAGAGAACCTGTAGATTTTATGTGATTCAATGAAAAGAAGTGTATAATATTCGAAAGTTAATTCTATGTAGTTTTAGAAGGGTTTATAGCAGAATTTTTTTTTACACTACAGAAAAATAGGGTTTCACAGTACTTATTTTAGACTATTACAATGATTTAATTACCACAAAAAAAACAGCAGCGGTTCTAGAACCACTGGAAGATTGACATGTTCGTTGTCTGCTACAAAGGGTTTTCACAATGGTTTTCCAACCATTGGGGAAAGAAATTTTAGCACTACATTCAGCAGTGCTTCAAACGGTGCTATATTTGCAAAATTGCTGCAATGATGCAGATGGCAGTTTAAAAAGTTTCAAATGCTCCAATTTTTTAAATTTAATGTGTGTGTGTGTGCGCGCGCGCGTGTGTGTATGCGTGTGCGTGTGCGTGTGTGTGCAATCATATCCAGAAGATGCTCAACATTTCACATGTTAAAAATGTCAAATAATACATGCATAGATGCTTGAACATAAATTTAAATATAAAAAAATTATGTCAAGGACTTATGGTGTAAAAAATATATCATGTTTATAAGAAATTTATTCAAAATAAGTTCATATTTTATCAATAAATACAAAATCATGTATAATTGCCCTAATATAATCTTTCCTAAAGCAGCCACCCGAATCTGAAAGGAGAACGGTGTGATCCGGGTGAGCCTCCCGCGGATCCCCAACCTAGCCATGTGATCAAGGGCCAAAGGACGACTGAGATTTAATAGCGTGATCCCGGTGAGCCTCCCACAGATCCCCATGCTGGTTGTGGGATCAAGGGTCTAGGGACGGTTGGGATTTTAACACTCCCCATCAAGCTAGGGAATACAGATCTGTCATTCCCAGTTTGGTAATTGGTTCCAAAAAAGTAGAGTTATCATCCAAGTTCCTTGGTGTATCATAGAGTCTTCAATTTGATCAAAACTTTGAGAGAAATTAGCTTCAGATATTACAGTGGAAAGGGGTGGAAATAAAGGCTATATTAAGCAGGACAACAATGAAGGCTACATTGATTATAGATAGGATAACAACCACAAGGGAAGGCCGACAATGAAGGCACGACAATATGAAAAAAAAATGTTTTAAGGTTGCGGTAAGCTTCAAGGACAACAGTAGAAAAACATGTCTCAAGCAGCTCAACACTTGGCATGCAAATCTCCTCCCATTCGATCGAGCTAGCTTCAACCAATGCAAATCACTCGTCCGACTCCACCCGAGCACTAATGTTCGATCGACCCCGTTCAGGTGCACACATGGCCTTCCCTCTCGATCTCTCCTTGGTCTTGGACGAATGAAGGAAGCAGAATGACCAATATTCCTTAGAATTTCGACAATGAAGGCCGGTCGAAGGACTAGTATTCCTCAGAATTCTGGCAATAAAGACCGGTGGTGGGAATCTATATTCCTTAGAATTCCAGCAATGAAGGATGGTGGTGGGAACCTCTATTCCTTAGAATTTTGGCAATGAAGGTCGGTGGTGGGAACATGTATTCTTCAGAGTTTCAGCAATGAAGACTGGTGGTGGGAACCTGTATTCCTCATACTTTCGACAATGAAGGTCGGTTGTGGGAACTTGTATTTCTCAGAATTTTGGCAATGAAGGCCGGTGGTGGGAACTTGTATTTTTTAGAATTCCATCAATGAAGGCTGATGGTGGGAACTTGTATTCCTCATAATTCCACCAATGAAGGCCATTCGTGAGAATCTTGCTCTGATATCATGTTAAATTTAGAGAATTGAAGAGGAAAAAAGCTTAATTTTATTTTAGAAAACTATTCCTATTTATAGATCTATAAATGATATCTTAATAAAGAAACAAATTATTATGGAATCATGCATACTTTCTCTAATATAATCCTTCATAAATCAACCACCTGAATATGGAAGGAGAGCAGCTTGATTCAGGTGTGCTTCCCATGAATCTCCATCCTAGCCATGGGATCAAGGGTTAAGGGATGATTGAGATTTAACAACATGATCCAGGTGAGCCTCCAACGGATCCCCATGTTGGTTGTGGGATGAAGGGCCGAGGAACGGTTGGGATTTTAACATATACTTATCCAACACCTAAAACTATTTTAAGGGTCAAATATTCCACTCTATTAGCTCTCTCCGTGCACTATGAAATCTCATGTGCAATCCCCTCTAGCTCACACTAATATCTCTTAATCTTGGCCGACCTCGCATTCGTTGGCATGTGACCTGAAGCATTCGGTGCCAACTGACCCTTCTTTGCCTGTAGAAATGTCAGAACTAGTGAAGGCCACAACTAAATAGGGGGTTTTCTCCTCTTACAGAGCAATTTGCTCTTCTTCTTCTTCTTCTATGATCTACTCACCAATTCTTTGCCCACAGACTACATGTAGAGTTGGTCGAGGTCACAACTACCTATGATTTTTTCTCCACCTATAACCCATTTTGATCTTCTTCTTCTTCCAATCCAGGAGGAATTTTGAGAATCAATTGGCCGTAAAATTTCAACTAAAAGGTGAGATAACAATCCTAATAGCAAGCAATAAACAGATCAATACACTATTTTCTATACTTTTAGCAACATTGGTTTAAATCGGTGTTACAATTACAAGTGATAAGTATGTAAGCAATGGTTAAAATCTTGCAAGCAATACACAAATTAAGACATAATGATAAAAAGATTCAGATAATAAGAAAGCTCATGTCAAGCAGTTCAAGAAAGAAGAATATTAGAAATTTGATCTTTTTAGCCACATCATTCCCACAAATTTGGAGGCAATATTATAAAAATTGAGGACATAAAAACATTAAAAAGTACAATTTTATGTAGGAGGTAATTATAAAAGGTAATTTATGCATAAAAGCTAATGATACCCTGACCAAAGTTTCATCAGAATGGGCTTTAAAATTCAATATTTAGCATTCATATGGCATAAAAAGAGTAGTATTTTAAATAATAAATTTTATTGATCAAAACATAATGGCAATTTAGCAAGTAAAGACCACTTCAAAGATGGATGAAAAGTCAGTTAATTATACATACAGAGTTGTGTATTTTTTTCAGTGTTTAATTTATTATTATTTATAGTTATTAATAGTATTTTAATTTTGTTATTAATTTATGTTATGGTGGAGTTAGTATCAATCATATATAATGTAGAACAATGCCTTTGATGTGAGATATAAAATTGTAGTGAAATTAGAACAAGCTTAAATAGAAGCTGGAGAATTGTAATATTAGAAATTTGAATACAGTAGCCTTGTTAATGCATGCCATTACTTCTGTGAGCTTCTTGAAATAAGTGTTTCCTTTCCTGGATTCCTAATTTTATGTCATCTGAATTGAAACAACTAATGAGACTCATCTCTTATCTTTTGATTTAATATGTTATTTTGTTGGCAGTTTTTATGAGATGGCCTGTTTGATGTCAAATATCATTTCTATCTAATTGTTGGGACATCTTTTTAGAACACAAGGAATGTTCCAAATTTTACTTGAATGCAAATTCCTGGGAATTTGCTTTCTCAAATGAATATGGAACTTCTGACCGTAAGGTGCATTTAAAATGGTTATTGAGAACTCTCATGAGTCTGTAAATGTTAAACTTGGTCTTGAATTAAAGTGGCAAAGGTACCTTGTGCGCTTTGATGACTCTGTATACTTTATGGGGGTGCTGGAAACCATCATCTTCTTTCATGCTATTTTCTTTTGCAATTTTTATTTATTTATAGGAAATGAATTGCATTAAGGATGAAGATCAAAAAGTGGTTTTTTTAGAAGAGGATATTCAACAAAGGTGGATGAGATACTTTTGTGAAGTTTTTCAATGAAGATTGTGAGAATATGATTAACTTTAGTGACCTTAGCACTCTAAATTAAAAAAAAAGAGTTTATTTTTATCGGCGTATTAGTAAAACTAAAGTTAGAGAGATTTTAAAGAAAATAAAGTGTGAAGTGTGGAAAAACTAGTGGACCTGATGATATTCCACTAGAGGTGTGGAAATGCTTAGGAGTTGAAGGAATTTCTTGGCTTACTAAAATTTTTAATTTTATTTTGAAGACTAAAAATATGACAAATGTGTGGAGAATGAGTGTGTTGATTCCTTTTTATAAGAATAAAGGTGATGCACAAGATTGTCCGAATTATAGAGGAATTAATTTGACCTGTCATACTTAAAAAACTTTGGGAGCGAGTTATGGAGCATAGGTTACGATGTGATACTAATGTTTCTCAAAATAAATTTGGACTCACACCGGGTAGGTCTACTATGGAAACTATTCATTTATTGAGAGGGTTGATGGAGAAGTTTAGAGAGAATAAGGAGGATGTACATATGATATTTATTGATTTAGAGAAAGCATATGATAAAGTTCTAAGAAAAGTGCTATGGAGAGTTCTAGAAAATAAAGGGGTTAATAATGCTTATATTCAAGTCATTAGGGATATGTATATAGGAGCTGTTACTTGTGTTCAAACACAAGGTGGTTTGACCAAGTATATTCCTATTTCAGTAGGATTATATCAAGTATCAACCTTAAGCCCTTATCTTTTTGTTTTAGTCATGGATGTTCTCACTAGACATTTTCAAGAGGATTTACCTTGGTGTATGCTTTTTGTTGATGATATTCTTCTTGTTGATAAGACTAGGGAGGGAGTTGAAGGTAAACTCGAATTATGTAGGTCAACCTTCGAGTAAAGGTTTTAATTTGAGTAATCTAAAACCGAATACATGGAGTGTAATTTTAGTATTAATAAATCTAGTGGGGGGTTTGTGATTTTGAGCAATAAAGTCATTAATAAGTGTACTCATTTTAGATATCTTGGTTCTATTGTTCAGAGTGATGGTGAAATAGATGGGATATTATAAGTAGAATTCAAGTTGGATGGTTGAAGTGGAGAAATGCTTCAGGTTTGTTGTGTGATAGAAAAATACCACTCAAATTAAAGGGAAAATTTTATAAGATGGTTGTGAGACCTGCAATGCTTTATGGCGTAGAGTGTTGGCCAAAAAAGAGAAGCTTATTTTTAAGTTAAGAGTTGCTAAGATGAGGATGCTCAAGTGGTTGAGTGGATTTACTCTTAGAGACAGGATATGAAATGAGCATATCTGTGAAATGGTTGAAGTGGCTCCAATGATAGATAAGATTAGAGAGAGTCTCCTTAGATGGTTTGGTCATGTAAAACGGTGGTCTTCCCATGACCTTGTTAGGAGAGTAGATGTATTAGATTTGACCTATGTTAAGAAAGGTAGAGGTAGACCTAAAAAGTCTTGGTTAGAAAATATTAGAATGATCTTTCTTTATTAGATTTAAATGAGAATTTGACTCTTAACATGACACAAAGGAAAAAAAAAGATTCATGTAGCTGACCCCATGTAGTGGGATAAAGGTTTGATGTTGTTGTTGTAATGGAAGTCAAGGAAGTCGCTTTCTCACACATTTTCTTTTCCCAGTTTTTTTTTTTAAATTTATGTGAAGTCACATTCTCACATATTTCTAAGTTGTTGGTTGGTTGGGAAGCAGATTTGGGGTGAAGATGACAAATTTGACCTTGGAGATGAGGCAGACGGTGACGAAAGGCTCGGGATTCCATAGGAGTTTGATCAAGTGTGGGAGAGGTGGATTCAAGGGAGACATAAATGGATATTAAGGTTTGGTGGAATGGAAGTGGGGTGGAATTAGGGTAGCGGCGGATGGTGGCATGACTAGATTTAGGGTTGATGATTTGATTTTATGTGTGATCGGTTTTAAGAGTGCTGCTTTAAATGGAGAAGGATAAAGATTTGATGTTGTTGTTGTAATGGAAATCAAGGAAGTCGCTTTCTCACACATTTTCTTTTCCCAGTTTTTTTTTTTTTAAATTTATGTGAAGTCACATTCTCACATATTTCTAAGCTGTTGGTTGGTTGGGAAGCGGATTTGGCGTGAAGATGACAAATTTGACCTTGGAGATGAGGCAGATGGTGACGAAAGGCTCGGGATTCCATAGTAGGAGTTTGATCAAGTGTGGGAGAGGTGGATTCAAGGGAGACATAAATGGATATTAAGGTTTGGTGGAATGGAAGTGGGGTGGGATTAGGGTAGCGGCGGATGGTGGCATGACTAGATTTAGGGTTGATGATTTGATTTTATGTGTGATCGGTTTTAAGAGTGCTGCTTTAAATGGAGAAGACATTGGACAACGATGAGATTCGAAAAGAGCATATCAAAAATATCTTAGAAAATAATGAAAACACAAAAAATAGAGCAATTAAAGGTATAATTAGGCAATTTGAGGTTTGCTAAAATTTTAGGTATTGATGAGGGAGAAGAATTTAATCAATTTGAGGATGCATACAGCTGCCGGTAATTAGAAGAGAGGGAGTACCCACTAAAACATGTTTCATTTATTATTTTGCCTATTCTAATTACCCCAAAGGAAGGGTATATATAGCAATACATGACCTATAAGAGTCAACTAAATAACCTGTAGATTCACATGACCTACAAATAACACACTAAATATCTTTTTATATTTATTCATATCAGTCTCTTAACGAATTCTTTGGTCCATTACCTCTGACTTATCATTTGTTATTCAGTTTGCGACCATTTTACATTCATGGAATCTTTTTTTCTTTCTTTCTTTCTTGATTTTTGACCTACTTCTAGCAATGTGAGTGTAGATAACTAATTTTTAAGAGAAAAAAAAATTCAATTATTGCTTAATTTTTACTAATATTTTTGTATTTTACTGAATATTTTCATCAATACATAATGTTTTTAGTCTAACGGTTTATTTGGTCAATTAATGCTGGATTACAGGCTGAGGAACCTGTTGAGGTCTACCATGACAAGGATTTCAAATCTAGAAGATGGCACTTCCCTTCTCACAACTTCACACTCTCTCTTGTGTGGGCACCTTTCCTGGTTAAAGCTGAAATTTTTGAGAATGATGACGGCCAATCGGATTCTGATATTCAACTACACCTCGACACCCTCGACAGTAAATGGACCGAGAATTATCGCGACTTCGACTACATTGTGATCTCTGCTGGGCAGTGGTTTCTGAAAACCGCAATCTACTGGGAGAACCGCAAAGTTGTTGGTTGCCATTACTGCCCTGGGAAGAACTTAACAGAACTCGGGTTTGATCATGCATATCGAATGAGCCTCAGAAAGCTCTTCAATCACATTCTATCATCTGATCATAAGCCCTTAGTTATTTACCGAACCTGGACACCGGATCACTTCGAAAACGGAGAGTGGTTCAGCGGGGGGACATGCAACCGAACTAAGCCTTACAAGGCCGGGGAATTCCGTGGCAGAGACGTCGATCATCTAATGAGGAACATTGAATTGGAGGAGTTTCAGAAAGTGAAAGCTAGAAGTTCTGAGGACGGAATTCGTCTCAAGCTCCTGGATACCTATAACCTTTCCTTGCAAAGACCTGATGGCCATCCAGGGCCATATAGAACATTCCACCCTTTTGACAAGGAGAAGAATGCTCTTGTCCAGAATGACTGTCTACACTGGTGTTTGCCTGGTCCTATAGATGCCTGGAATGATTTGCTTATGGATATGCTGCTCAATGATTCATAACTTTATTCATGTATTTGGATTATGAGATTCTTCACTGTATTTGCTTCATCAGAAGCTCATTTCAGATTTGTCGATCGGAGCTAAGGATTGCAATCATGGTTAATCCTCTAAATTATCTCTTATGTTAGTGTGACTTAGGCTTCGTTTGGGACGACTTTCTTACTGCTTTATAAAGTAGTTTTTTAGTACAAAATATTGTTAAACTAAAAAAAATTGTACTAAAAAATTGTTTCAGAAAACAGTAAGAAAACCGCCCCAAACGAAGCCTTAACGATTCTGCAGGCATTCTCTGGAAGAAGAGAAAAAAAAGCTCCATTCATAAAGTTCACCTCAACATCATTCTTCATTGTCAATATTTGTTAAGAAATTTGAATTATGTAAATTGTTGTTTACCCTTAATGTTCAGTGCTTGTATTCATTGTGGGTTTGGATGTTACATTAGTAATTATCATTCTGTAATTTCAGAATAGATTGATAATCTAAGGCTTTCTATTCTAAATTTTGTTGTTGTTTGGTTCATTAGTGTTCTCTTATAGTATATTGAAAATATTTTTCTTTGGATGTACACTTGCTCTTAAATCCAAATTTATTCATGAGCGATATCTGAGTATTACTAGCAAGATTGGTTACGACAAAAAGAGTAAAGGAAGATGAGAGAAAAAGAGAATTTTATGATGTTTTATTATAAAAAATTAAGAAGCTAGATATAATAAGCTGTTGTGTCTCTTAATGCTTGCCCTCTGACGTCTTGGTTATAGGTGAGGGTAGATGCAAGCAGTGGCGGAGACACAAAATGTATTTAGCTGGTGGTTTAAATTAATTTTTTTTTAAAAAAAAAATTTCTCAACTTTTTACATCTAGGCTTACAACTGGTATATGTAATTTTAAATTTTTATTAAAATAGCATGAAATTACATACAACAACAACAACATCATCAAGCCTTTATCCCACTACGTGGGGTCGGCTACATGAATTCATTTTCTCCATTGGGTCCTATTAAAAGTCAAATTCTCGTTTAGATATAATAAAGAAAGGTCATTTCTAATATTTTCTAACCAAGTCTTTTTAGGTCTACCCCTATCTTTCTTAACATAACTCAAATCTAATACCTCTACTCTCCTAACCGGGTCATCGGAAGGTGGCCGTTTTATGTGACCAAACCATCTAAGGCAACTCTCTCTAATCTTATCTTCTATTGGAGTTACTCCAACCTTTTCATGTATATGCTTATTTCGTATCCTATCTCTAAGGGTAAAGCCACTCATCCACCTGAGCATCCTCATCTCTGCCACACTTAACTTAGGATTATGCTTCTCTTTTAATGGTCAACATTCGGCACCATAAAGCATTGCAGTCCTCACTACCATCTTATAGAATTTTCCCTTAAGTTTGAGGGGTACATTTCTATCAAATAACAAGCCAGATGCATTCTTCCACTTCAACCATCCAACATGAAATTACATATGTAAAGAAATTAAAAAATAATAAAAATATTAGCTTTAAAATATATGATAAAAGAATATATTATATAAAAATGTATATGTAATCAATAAAACAAGAAAAATTAAGTGGACTCTTACTTCAAAACTTTAGTGGTCAACCCGCGAACCCGTTTAATTCAAAAAATTTCGAATCCCGCCTCTGCCCACTGCTCGCCCGAGCTGCCCGCCCGTGCTGCCCCGCCTCGCTGCCCG